CATTATTGAAGGACTAGAGGGGAGGAGTACTCTTCTGATCTTGGGTATCTTTTTCCCTACCCTACTTCCCCCTTTCTCCCCCAATCTCCCTCCTGTCTTCCCACCTCCTCACTTCAATTTTCTACCCCAAGATCCCCACTCTCCCCCTCGTTCCCTCTCCTCTCCTGTCACAATCTCCTTCCCTCTTCCCTTTCCTTATCTTCCCCGCGCCTCTCAGAAAAGTGGAGAAATCTAGGGATTCGGCCAACCAGCTTTCACCAATTTGGTGCGGGTTGGTGGTGGTGGGGGGTTACAAATATGGCCTGACCCCCCCCCCCCATCCTCTTAATAGAACCAATAGGACCGACCCTGACCAGCCTATGTCCGTCCCGTACCCTAGACCATTCACCCTGCAAAGTTGTGTGAGGCTAGCTCAAAGTGTCTGACCTCCAACCATGGATAGGCAAATAAGTACTGTTTGCCTATCACACATTCTCTCTTATTCTTATAGATTATAACCTATATAACCTATTATAACCTCTTATAGTTAACCTCCTTGGCAAGCTCTAATGAAAACCAAAAGTACCTAAAATGTCAAGTCACACCCCTCCCCTCCCCCCTGCGCCAAATTTGGCCATAGCGCGCATACGAGCCAAAAGTGATGTTATTTTTAAGAGGACGGATACCGAACTTACTTCTTGAAAGGAAACGTATCCAAACATTTTTTTCTCATTCTACGGAGAGAATCAAATCTGGGAGCTTTCAGTTGCCGACTGAGCTACGGGTCTAAGGTATTCGCTTGTAATGTGCGGTATGTAAGGAGAAAGAGAGAAAGCAGTAACTAGAGCTACGACGCCTGGAGCCAACATTCACAGTGTAAACAGGGCAGTGAAATATGGAAAATTGAACTACCCAAGAAAGTGAGACCAGAGGCTATCTGTGGAAAGCCAATTGTCTTGAACCCTGGACCTCCTTAAAATTAAATAACATCACTGATAAGCCACAAGCCACAAGGGGTCACTTAATACAGTTGGCTTCTTTCTCAACTCATGATCAGGAATCTCGGGTTCGATTCCTGGACTAGACAAACATTATAGGGAAGGTTTCCTTTCGCCTAATGAGTCTGTTCACTTAGCAATAAATAGGAGCAGGAGTGTTATGTAACGTTTGTGTGGGGGGTGGGTTGCATACTGGGGAAGGTCAGTAGTTTGACCTTAAGGGAACCGTGATACATGCCTAAAGAATATATATACACAGGTTTCCTGTCCCCAACAAAAGTAATTATTTCACATTAGGCTCAACCGGTCGATGTCGCAGTAGCCTATCCTGGTCACGTTCTCTACAGCGAATGACGTTACTGTCACAAAGGGTCAATGGCAACCCATATGTAAATAGGGTCTACCCACACAAGAAAATGCTGAATAACACTAATATCAATTAAACTTAGTGGGAATAACTATATCATATTGTCTGCGCGTATGTTCCACCCTGGCTTGGAATGAATTAGTTTGAAAGAATGAAGTTTACAACGTGCGATGTTACCCTTCACCTGGCTGCACTGTGGCCTGACCTTCTTGACACCTGACCAAACAGGCTGTTAGTGCCCACATTTCGCTTTCAGGCGTAAACTCTACGTGAACGCGTCAAATCGCCCTTCGAAGTCAAGGGTCCGTAGGTAATTTCTTTTACACACGCTTGGAAGGTAGTCAACAGCCTTGGGCCTTTGTGAGGCTATCGCTCGTAGCATTCATTACAATACATTTCTGTACAAGGTTTTTTGCATTTTGGGCTCTGATGAGGATACCGTTTGTGGTGTTCATTATAACTCAAATGCCTTTTATAGAAACATTTTTTTTTTTTTGCATTTGTTGTGTTTTCCAATTTCCTAAGGAATATTTTCTCTGTACTTGTCAATGATTGAATTCACTGGGAGGTTCTGGAGGCCACAAACTGGAGCCCAACCAGGGTTTTACAGTCGACCCGACCACACTCTGGGTTACGGTATGGTATGGCGTGGTTGGGTCGAATTCAGTAAGTTCCGGGTTGGTCGGTTTTTGCACCATTGTGGTAGAGTCGGTTAGAGTATGTGTTTGGGGATTCACCAGAGCGCAAGTTCGAGTCACTCCATTGCCTCAAAATGATTTTATTTATATATCACGCCTTTGAGATTTCTTTGCTCGGTCACTGTCCCACAACCGACCTGGTGGCTTTGTTAGGCTTTCACTCCTTATTCCAATGAAAGTGAAGCAACGTGGAAAGTCACCAAATCTTTCCAGAATGTGTTCTCGTTTCACTTTCTGTTCAATTACACTATTCCGATGAACAAAATAGTGTGTGATTTGATAATGGTTGCAGTTTGGTACTTGATAGTACAGCTAGAGGCAAGGGAATAAACTTTCAGAATGAGCAGGACCCCAAAAGAATTTAACTGACTTTCCCTGGGTGAAACCTAACCTGGGTGACGTTTTAAAACCTCACCTAGCTGTATAGATTTGGGGTGGTGTGTATGCCCAATATACAGTAGACATTTCTTCTCTGGATCGCAACACTGAGGTGCTGGAACACTCAACTGGACGCTCTTAGGTCTCTGGTTAGCCTCATGAGCTCCTCTCCCACCTCCTTCGGGAACTCGTGCACATTTATACAACTTTAATATTTGTAAACAAAGCCGCAGTGATTAAGGAAAGATGTGCAGGTTTCGTAAGCTGTAAATGCTTGACGAGTCCTGCTTCGGGGGACCTCACCTGCGCCTCACGCAAGACCTACCTGTACCATCACTACATCGATGGTACCCGTCCTGCCATCACAACAATGTCTGGTAGTATATCCATGTGCTTCCTACCTCGCCTTCCGTGTGTGTATGTGTACAGTTTTGACGCCACGCGAGTACAAACACACGTTGAGTGTAAGGCTCGTACTCCAGACTGTTGAAGTGTCGTGAGATGAACCTTGGGACTTCCCGCACTCATGATTCTATTGTTTATTCTCACGTGCTACCTCATGGGGTCCTCAGAGTCCAGCAGGTCTACTTCATGTGCCTCAAATGTTAAGTATTCAAAGGTACCATGGTGACGATATAGGGGAAGCTCTAATGAACATGAAAATACATTATACACCAGCTGGTTCTTTTGTATGTCGATGTATTTCAATAGTGTACTTATTGTGCTAAATATTCTCAAATATCGTAAAGAACACTACATTTGGTACTTTATAGCGTCAGCTGATGACGCTTATATTCGTTTCCGTTTTCTGAGCGAAGCCTCAGCACGGAGTGGACGCTATTTTCTTTGCCTTCGGTAATTTTGGCTTGCTTTGGCAGGTATATTTTATGGCATGATGGAATTACAATAATTCAGTTGCCATTCAGAGGGATACTTTGCCATCTAAGAGTGTGGAGAGTGCTGTAGTGTTGAGTGTAATGGCTGTGCAAGGCATTCGAATCTCGAGTACAAAGTAGCAGGAAGGAATAATTAACTGGCTCTAACTTAATAAAATATCAGGAAATTTAGACATTAAAGATGATTACAGAACGAAAAAAGTATACAAAGTGAGTCACTATTCAGCCGGGCAGCCACTCTTCAGTGGATATACAAGCAGTAAGAAAAATGTATAATGCTTAAGTGTAGCGAGGGAAAGTTATATATATATCTCTGCTCGTGTCATTGTCAATGACCTGACCACTTATGGTCGCCACCCGTGTCATGGATACAGTTTTGGAGGTTACAGTAAAATACCGTTTTGGAGGTTGAAGTGAAATATAGTTGGGTGGGACGGAAGGCTAAAATAAATACAGTTCCTTGTAAGCAAGAATTCTTTCAAGCACTACAGCAAGTAGAGGCCCACTATAATAAAATGCAAATTTAATATATATATATATATATATATACACGAGGATCATTATTATTGAAATTCTGACCTTTGCATCATAGCTTGGACGAGGCTAGCCATAACCTTGAGAACTTTAAACCTCCATTTATAGAGTGTGACTGCTGCGTGTTATTCACTGACCGCTCGAGACAAAGCTGTTTGAATATGCTGACATAATCAAGCTGAAATCCAATATATACATGTAACGTACGAACAGATTCTTCACGTCTGCGAGGACGGTGATTCAATATATCTATTTTGACTGATGAGATGACTTAGCCTCGGTCTTGACGTGCGGTATATTAACATGTAAACATATTTTGGGTGTCAGTATATATATTTTCCTTGCAGTATGAATGTTTACATCATCAACATAGCCATTGATGTGTTTACTGGGATTGCGAAATAAAATTATAGATGCTTCGAAATAGTACGACATAATTTTGACCAATTGCAGTGTCGCCTTTATTGGTAAAGATTTAATGAAGTTTGCAGTCTTCACAAAGTGATCATCTTTGTAACACCTGTACAACTTTTAACCCAAAAGTCTGTTGTACGTGAGCTGCTATAAAAACCTTGATATTATCACAGTTTTTTTTTAGTATAAATCCTCTAGAATCATTTATACGAGGGTAAATCGATACATATTATAAGTTATAACTTGCTCTTGCAAAGTTGCCTCGTGCATATAGGAAGATTATCGAACCTCTGTTGTTATACACCTCATCATTCTTCTTAAATTTTGAAGGTGTAGCAGAGCCGAAATCAAACTGTGTACCGTATTTATACAGTACAACACTTACAGTACACCTGTAACTTAAAACATGGCACTGGCAAGCGGAAATCCAATCAGTAAATGGCACTGGCAAGTATAGTGCCGATCAGTAGCTCACAATAGCCATGTAGATTGCCTATCAGGAAACAAGACTACGAAAACTGTTAGGCTACTCAGAATCCTTCTCCAGCTCTCGAAAAAAAAGGCAGAAGAAAAAAATATCGAGCGGAAAGAAACTTGATCACGCAGCCTATTGCAGAAAGTACCCCAAGACGACTTAAATTACAGTTGTTAAGGAGCAGGTCTTCACATCATCAATTTCAAAAGAAAGGGGTTGAATATATTGAGAAATTAATGCTATCTGTTTTAAAACAAATGATTTAGAAGGTGTATGCATTTATTTTACAATCGTACCCTAAATAGGTGCCCACAAGCCTGTTTGGTACCTGGAAAAGTTTATCCAATACAAATCACAATAACGTGGTGAATATCTGAATAAACGTTGAGGTAGTTTGACAGGATCGAACTCGCGGCTCTGATCACGTCAGGTCCAGTCGATAGTGCATGTGTCTGAGGTGATTATAGGGACTCGGGTTCGATCCTGTCGTACAGCCGCAATGTTTATTCCTGTTAATCCAATCCTGTGAACAACGCTTGAGTCTAGCGCAAGCCAAGCATCAATGTGTACAGCAAAGTTCACAAAGTTTTTTGTTATCAATTGCATAATTTTTGTCTGCAATAATACGTGTCAATAACTGTCTCTATAATAAAGTCTTTGGGAAGAACTGGAATTAAAAATATAAGAACCAAGAGCGAGTTATAATGAACTGAAGTTGTAATTGTGTTGTGACTTCTATACATTGTTTAATGTGGTTGTTGAGAAACTTATATATTTCGTCTTTTGTGGAGTCCGGTCGTCATCTAGAAATATGCTGGGCTTGGAACGCCGTAGGATCCAACCGGTTTGAGGGGAACCGCGGCTTTGACAGCGTGAACCGGGTACTTGGCGACGCCCTCGTAGGTGACGGTGGGGTGGTAACCCGTCTCGTCGGCGTAGTAAGTGACAGTCTGGATACGACCGTCGGGGAGGTGGACGAAGTATTTACCCTGGGTCTTGTAGCCTTCGCGGGCCTCCGCGTGGCCGAAGTGCGAGCCAGTGTAGTCGTCTTGTACCTTGTAGTCGAAGTTATAGATGGGAATGGCCTGAAAATGTCAACATTAATTATGTACAACATCGCAGGGATAAGAGTTCGAACCCAGTTAGCCGCGATATTTTCACAAAGAATAATTAGATATTTGTTTCAAATATATAAATACTTGTATTATACAGTTCCACACGCACGTCCATGATAACGCTCACATAATTACAAGAAAGCATGTTAAATTCTGATGAAATATTATGTACATGTATTAATAAATGAAATGGAAACACACGTTGGGATAGACAGGCTTGGCGTATCCCGCCGGAGCGTATGGCAGGAGTTCCCTGGCGTAGCGACTTCGGACGCCAGCACTGGACGCCGCCACCACCACCATCGCCACCATCACCACCATTACCTAAGACAAGCAGAACACCGGTAAGTCCTCAGTCACAACTGTATATATAAACACACACTTATCATTGCAGCCACTTAATTTTAAGTGTGAAAATTTCATTGTAAAATATATTACCGAAATAGTAGTTAACAAATAGTACAATTCAGGTGAATGGAATTGTAGTTAACAATTGAGTATTAGTGCGGTAAATATATATATATTACAATATTGAGTGCCATCCTGGAGGTTGGGAAGTGAGTGGTGATCCTGCGTTTCCACCTCCAATATATATACACCCGAGCGCCAACTACCGCGCATGCGCAAGTTTTATAGCTATACGAAGTGTCTGGTTAACAAAGGCAGTTGACGGCGTGGCACTACGAGTTTACCCGCCGTCAAGGCTGAAATAATACTCATAGAGACGCTCTACCATCTAAATAGAGCTCTACCTTTCTAATTGTTAAAAATATATTAATTTGTTAATTATACATCCACAGCCATACTGTGGGCTCTATCATATATACCCCAAATTTAATTAGAGCAGCCCATTCTCTCTATTTGCCACTCTGAAGAAAATAAAAAAGTAAATTTTTTACAAACAAAAAACTACGAACCCAAACAACTCGCCTATATATATATATATATATATATATATATATATATATATATATATATATATATATATATATATATATATATATATATAAATATAATATATATATCTATCCTCGGCTCACAACGAAGAGACCTGGGTTCAATCCCCGGGCAGGGCGGAAACGGTTGCGCACGTTTCCTTTCACCTAATGCCTCTGTTCACCTTGGAACAAAAATTGGTATCTTGGACAACTACTGTGGGTTGCCTCATGGGGGGGGGGTCAGTGGGGAAGGGGGAGGCTAAGTACAGGCTTCCTGTCCCTTGGGAAACGGGACAGACCTGATGACAGCTGCCAGGTTATATAGTTCTATATTTTATTGTTCTATATTTCTATAGTTCAGTGCTGGTGATGAATAATGATGATGCTTTGGTCCTCATCATAGTGTCTGTGTAGCTGATTGATTGATAGAGATTAAGCCACCCAAGAGTTGGCACGGGCATGAATAGCCCGTAATTTGTCTAGCTCCGCTGACGCCGTATATATATATATATATATATATATATATATATATATATATATATATATATATATATATATATATATATATATATATATATAGGAACCTTCCTCCCCCCCCCCCTTTACAGCATCCCCAATGTATGCATCACCCATGTGTACATACTCAGGGTATATTACTGTATATATTGTTATATTGTTGTTGTTGGTGGTGTGTGTGTTTGAGTGACGCCCTTGTTGCCTAGATCCCCTAACTCCTTGGGGTTCCTCAGTGCAGGTGGGTAATAAGTAGTGAATGTATGTTGGTGAAGATGTCTAGGTGAAGAATGTTATAGGTCTAGGATAATGGGAGATGATGATATATACGGTGCATGAACACATAGGTGTACATGTACACATATATATATTATATATGCATCATCGTCTGTCCTACAAAAGCAGGTAACAAAAAAAAAGCTGCCGTGAAACATACTAAGCACTCAACCAGCGTTCTCTTGCAAATTACGTCGCTTTTCGCTCGTATGCGCACTTTGGCTAAAGAAGAACGTAATTCAAAATGAAATCGGCTCACGAAAGTGACGTAATGTTCCGTTTTCTGTTTTGGGTCTTCTGGCTTACTCGGTTAGGTTAGGAGAGGAAACTTTCACTTAACGATTTTCATGACGTTTTGAAACCTTAAGAGAATTTCCTGCCCTCCTGACCTACCAGAGGACCCTTAACTTGCTGTTTTGGAAAGAAAAACAAATCCAAAATTTATTTTCAATTTTTTTCATTTTCAAATTTCGTGTTTTTTTTGCCGTAGCGCATACGAGCGAAAAGCGACATAATTTCTAAGAGGACGGGTTGCACCCAGATGTGATTCAATTGCTTTCACCAGCTCAAATTTTAATTATATTGCGTAATATTGCATAATTTTTGCATTACACATTAAAATCTTGGGTACAGAGTCAGTATGTTTTGAATGTACCAGCATTCAGATTATATCAACCCAAGGGGTTGAAAATGAATCAATATAGGACATTTTACAATATAATGTCTAACGAAATACAGGGTTTCTTTTTCACAAGTTGATACATGGTGTATTTGACACCTGAGGTGCTAGATCTGTTTCCCAGGCATAAAACACGTCACTGAAATACCGCATTATTAAGTACTTGTTTTATTAATTCTAAACATAAACGCCTCTTCACTGTGTTCATCATAGTACTTTAATGCTATGGCTCTCGGGTATTTAAGATTTTCATCGGATATTCGTTAATGTATTCTCGTTGTCATGTCTAATAAAGCACGTATTTGAATTTATACGACTGGTTTGCTACAGGCTGTCTTTGCAAGAATCTCAACAGTATCATGCTTTGAGATGCCAGACTGCACAAAAAATGCAGACGAATTAATGTGAAAATCTATTTTCTTCAGCAGCTAAAACAGGAATTCGAATAGCACTGTCTCTTTTTTTTTTATAGAGTTACTGCTATCTCCGTTCAGTGTCAGGAGTGCACTCTGTGGTCGAATAATATAATTACACTTTGTCTCTTAAAAATTCAGTTGAAAGGTACAAATCTGAAAGTTCGGTTTGAGTCCCATTACCTCAGCTACTAATAGGCTTCCATTAGATGCTAGGAAAATTTGTTATGTGTCGGGGGTGAAAGAGGAGTTAAAGTGATGTTTTCTAAATGCCTACTCGACAAAATGTATATTGATAACTCAATATTTTAGGTCCTGATCGTTCAGGGATAAAGGGCCATTTATCAATTTCATGGCGCTGTAATTACTCGCGAGTGATCACAAAAACTGTAGTGCAGTTTCCGGTCCAATATTATGACTGAAAAATAATAGAAAATGTTCGTCGCTCATCGGCCTTGAATGGTATTCGTTCTTAAAATATTATTTACTAATATATATATTCTTGAATTTGCTAAAATATATCATTTAACAGTGGTTATCTCCCAGTTGTTGTTGTTAAAGATTCGCTACTTGGAACACAGTTTCAAGTAGCACGGGCTATGGTGAGCCCGTAGATATATCTCCCAGGTGGGATCATTCATCTCCCACGCACCTCCCAGGCGCCTGACCATGGCCCAAAAGGTCAGAACAAAGCGTGCGAGAAGTGAGCAAACCACAAGCATGACCAAGAGGGTCAACCCCCTCAAGGACAGTCACCCTTAACACTTGTACTTTTTCTTCATCTTAAGTGTGTGTATATATACATTCTCAGTGTGGGGTGGAGACATTTGTTGTCGTTATTCCCTTATACATAATTATTTTTGGTTTGTGTCTTCCCAGGCATTATAGCATAACAAATTCTTCCAGGGGACCAAAAAATTATTGGTTGGTTAATTAGGCTATAGGTTAAAGTGTCTAGCCTTAAAAGCCTAATAAAAACATTACTTCATCCCCCCGAAATGTTTTAAACTTGGAGAGTATTCACTGAGGAATTCACACAGAATGGGAGTGTAGTATACTCTAACGTTAACAAGTATTAGCAGTAAATTATAAAGGTATTAAGGCGGTGAACTCACTCCGATTAGCTTTCAAATTACGTCCATTTCTGGCCATGGCGCGCTTATACGAGCGAAAAGCGACGTAATTTTCAAGAGGACGGGTTGTATAGCCAGCGGGCCACACCCTCGGACCAGGAAGGTCAGGTCCAGTGGCACCCACAGGGGGAAAGTCCTATTAACTCTCACTGGACTGTGTTCAGAATAATATATATATATATATTTTTGGTATCTTCGATATTGTTTATCATTTTTGCTGGATAGACAAGGACTCAGACATGCAGACAAAGAGATGTGAAGACAGAGACAGAGACACAGGGAGTCCAAAAAAAAAATAGATATGAACAGAGACAAAGAAATATAGCACCTATGGGACTTTTCCTTTTCAAAACGATATAGATTTATGTCTTTTTTTTTTTTTTTTGGGGGGGGGGGGCAGTACCGCTAAGCTCACTACAGCCTTCAGGTAACTGTGGACGCGGGAACCTCTGGCTGTTGCAAGACCGGAAACTTAGTAGACAATACAGCAACACAAGTCTCTTTAAGTGGACCGCGCAGTTTGCTCATTAGAATTCATTGTTGCGAGAATGGTCGCTCAGCTGACCCGACGCGCGCCAGCATAGCGAGCGTTGTGAACGTACAAGGGAACGATATATAGTTGCTTCTATTACGGGCTCGCCATAGCCCGTGCTACATGGACATTTCGTTCCGAGTAGGTAAATTTAAAACGACAGGTTGCTTCTCGCTGTCTTGTGTGGTGGGGAAAGGATATTAACCTCTATAATGTCCCCCCCCCTCTCTCTCTCTCTCTCTCTCTCTCTCTCTCTCTCTCTCTCTCTCTCTCTCTCTCTCTCTCTCTCTCTCTCTCTCTCTCTCTCTCTCTCTCTCTCTCTCTCTCTCTCTCTCTCTCTCTCTCTCTCTCTAGATGGGTGCTTGTAGGTGAGTACATTTATATGAGTACTTCTTGGCGAGTATATCTATGCGTACACACACACACACACACACACACACACACACACACACACACACACACACACACACACACACACACACACACACCAAAAAATATATATACTTTCTTCCCCTAAGCGAGTTTATATACCCGGAGTTTTTTGTCTGGAAAATGTTGTGGTCGGCAACTCTCACCTCTGACGTCTCCCCCACCTGGCCAAAATACGTCCATTAACTCATTTTGTCCAGTAATTTGGCATCGCCTAGGGGTGTAGTTTTGACCGGTGACGCCCCTTTTGACCCCTTGACAAGTTTTACAGTTAAGAGGAAAAACAAAAAAGACTTTGGAACTTGTGTTATTTGTGTAACCCAGAGAGACGCGACAATTATCGTAGTTGACAGTCACTACAAACCAGCGATCGAATGTTCTTCCCGGGCACATGACGTTCGTTCAATGTTGTTTAGATGTTGTTTGAACATGTTTTGTCCTCGTGAGAGAGAGCGCGCGCGCACGCACGCACACACACACACACACACACACACACACACACACACACACACACACACACACACACACACACACACACACACACACACACACACACACGTAGAACAGACGTCAACGTAGAACAGACGTCATTTGCCCAATTATGCTGGCTAGGATTAGGCTTGAGTTACTGCCACCTGTCTAATAAAGTCAACAACTAGTGCACCTGGCACCTTTCGAAAGCACTAGTGCTGTCGAAAGTCAGAATCATCCTGTTGTAAACCCGTGTATTCTGGGTTTACAGCATGTTTATTTGTATTAAACTGGTGAGTTTACTTATCTAAGCTCCCGCTCAGAGCATAGCCTGAATAGGATAGGGAAGGGGAGGGAATTATCAGGAGAAAGCGGGACGTCATTACGACTATATAACATTTGGAAGGGGTCAGGATAAGGATTTGGGATGGGACGGGGGAAAGGAATGGTGCCCAATCTTTTGGACGGTTGGGGATTGAACGTCGACCTGCAGGAAGCGAGACCGTCGCTCTATCGTCCAGCCATAGTAGTTGGGCGCGATAAAGCCAAAAACAAATAGGACAGGCAAAAAAAACAAATCCTAAAATTGTTCTTTTAGAAATATCAGAAATTAAAACTAGAAGATTGAAGTGAAAAATGGGTAGTAGTCGAAAGGAGTAGAATGTCTTCACATTTGCTATAGTTTACCCTGAGAACGTTAGGGCATGACCCTGTAGAACCTACCCGTTCTCTTTAGGAAATGTATATTTTATACATTTCCAGTTTATATTTTTCAGTTTACATTTATACATTGCCAGTAGCAGTGTTCGGCAATATATTTATTGTTTGTGATGTGTGTATATATTTATGTATGAACACGTTGTACTGAACGGGGTGAGAATAGCTTGAGCTACCTCATCCCTTTGTGTGTATTTTACCTCAATAAACTTATTTCAATTTCAAACCCGTCCTCCTAACAGGGCGTCGCATGTTGCCGTACCATAAGGGCAAAAATTGTCGTACTAGAAAATGGAAGCGGCTCGCGAAAGTGACATACTATCCCGTTTTCTGTTTTGGGTCCTCTGGTAGGTTAAGATCAGGGGGCACTTTAGTACGACAGTTTCTTTACGTTGGGAAACCTTAGGAGGACGGGCTGGCAGCAGGCCCAAGCTTTTGGCCCATATGAGCTGGCCCCTATTGATACCCCACCTAGACCCCATTCATATATGTCTAACCTACGCTTGAAACAACCCAGCGATCACACGTCTACTGCATTACCCGGTAATTTGTTCCATAAATCAACCACCCTATTTCCAAACCAGTATTTACCCAGGTCTTCACTAAATCTAAACTTATCCAGCCTATATATATATATCTTTTGTTGATATATTTAAAATTATTAATATTCCCCCATTTCAACCAACCTAACTTAGTAACCTCTTGAGGTTATCTTGAGATGTTTTCGGGCCTTAGAGTCCCCGCGGCCCGGTCCTCGACCAGGCCTCCTTTTTTGTTACACATCCCAGAGGAAGCAGCCAGTAGCAGCTGTCTAACTCCCAGGTGAACAGGTGCATCAGGGTGAAAGAAACTATGCCCATTTGTTTTCTCCTCCACCGGGGATCGAACCCGGAACCTTAGGACTACGAATCCCGAGCGCTGTCCAATCAGCTGTCAGGCCCCCAAAACCTGACCTCACTACAGCTGTATTTGCATAAATCCTGGTTATATACCCAACTTTATAATGTAGGTAAAATTAATATTATTTATCATTTCCAACTAATGTATATTTCGTGATGCGCAAAGTGAGTCCTTTGTTTGGGGCGGCAAACGACCTTATACTCTGGCCTGAACCTATTGGGCAGTTAAGGTTTCACCAGCTGGCGGCCTCCTGCGTCGTCTATGTACTAAATGACTGAGGCAGCGTTGTCCCCGGATAAACGTCGATTCAACGTCCAATCAACGTCAGTAACGTACGTTGAATAAACGTAACTGGAGTACGTTCCCTTCATCCCCCCCCCCTATCCCGGCTGGAGTTGGGATTTTTGTTATGATTGATTACGATTGATAACTTTATTTTCTACCAATAGGCGAAGCCGGCCAATCAATCACTCACCTCCGCGCTAACCTTCTATGGATTGTTCGTTTGTTCTTAGTCTTGTAATGCCGCGCTGGTCGATAGACCTATATTGATATTACAGTTTTATAAAAATAATAAAACAAAGCCAAAATATTTAAATAAATTGTAAAGTAACTCAGGATATTGTCAAATATTGTATAAAATATCTGTTGTTTAATAAAACTGAAAAAGAAGTTCCTAATATGAAAACTGGTGTTTAACTATTATATAGGAAGAGTTAATACCTTAAAAATAAAATATAAGTTTGCATATACCACACATATACTTATTAATCAGCCAAATAGTGACTACTAGAAGTGTCATATATGTACTGTCTTGTGCGAGAGCGGGTTGCGTATACCCGGAGGACTTAATTAGTGCTGAGATCTGTACTCACCTAGTTGTGCTTGCGGGGGTTGAGCTCAGGCTCTTTGGTCCCGCCTCTCAACCTGTAAGAGGCTTCGCGGAATGTTTGGTATTATTTCCTTATTGATGCTATAGAGTTATTGTGGTCGTTCAACTGTTTCAACTTGCATCAAATTACTGCTCAGTACATGAGTGGGAACAGGTGTGGGGGGCGGGGAGAGGGAGACCGTGGCAGGTGTGTGTGGAGAAGAGTGGTAGCAGATATGCGGGGAGAAAAGTGGCAGGTTTGTATCCTGACTACCTCCAGCCAAGCACTCTCAACAAACCTCATAGCTGATCAATACTACTGAATTCATACTTAGCTGGGAAGGAGAGTGGGGCGGAGGGAGGAAGCTGGGAAGGGGAGGTACACGTTGAGATCTGTGGGAGGGGGAGGTGTGGAAAAGAAAGATAGTGTCAAAAGGAAAGTGTGGAGAAGTAGTGTGACGAAGCGAGAGAGAGAAGGAACTCATAACAAAGAATAGTGGAAGATACGTAGTGTGAGTGCAAGGGGGAAAGAGAGGGAGTGTGAGGGGACGAAGGGATGTAGGTATTTATGAGGGGAGAGTGTGTGGGGGAGGAAGAAAGGTAGTAAGAGGACCAGCGAACGCGCGTCGGGTAATCCAGCAAAGAAAATGAAACGTAGCCTATTAGCGTGTGTGTGTGTGTGTGTACTCACCAAGTTGTGCTTGCGGGGGTTGAGCTTTGGCTCCTTGGTCCCGCCTCTCAATCGTCAATCTACTGGTGTACAGATTCCTGAGCGTCTCAAGCTCCACCATATCTATATTTGAAACTGTGTATGGAGTCAGCCTCCACCACATCACTTCCTAATGCATTCCATTTGTTAGTCACTCTAACACTGAAAAAATCTTTCTAATGTGTCTACGGTTCATTTGGGCACTCAATTTTCTATGTCCCCTCGTGCGTGTGCTCCTGGTGTTAGTCTGTCTTTATATACCCTATCAATTCCTTTGAGAATCTTGTATGTGGTGATCATATCCCCGCTAACTCTTCTGTCTCCCTTCTGTGTGTGTTTGTGTAAGGAGGAAGCGTGAGCCATTAACATGACCAAATAAATACACAACAAACACCACATCTTAAACAGCTTAATACCCAGTAATATATTACAGGAACACTCACTATCATGATGTCATTAATGAGTTATTTAGTGCTGGGGCGGGAGCCAGGCTGCCGGCTTGGATCAATGTCTCCATGGTCAAGGTCTCCGCCAGTGGTGTTCACTTGTGGCTCAATGCTCGCCCATGGGAGAGCATGGGAGGGAAGGGAGGAGATGGGAGAGAAGGAGAAGGAAGAGAAAGATGAGCATGTGAAGGAGATACAGAAGAGCGCATGGGATATCATGTAAGAATAGGATTTCAAATCAAATTTGACTTCTAGAATACAGCTTCAACAACATTATCCACATCAATAGCAAAATTCCAGCGGTGGATGGCAGGTCCAGCAGGCCGTGGGTGGGGTGGAGGTCTGGCTCCGGCCTGCCGCTTAGTGCCTGCCGGACTGGTATAGGGTGAGGAGGGCTGGCTCGCCGCCCTCACCTATCAACATGCCCCATCTTCTGGCAGACACTGTACGTGGTGACGGTAAACTGCGGTGTGCTACAGGGATGCGACTCTAAACACACAGCCAAGGTGTACAGTTTTATAGGTAAGATCTCGATGTAATCAGTTAATGAGAAAATCAGTAGGAACTATGATTAGAATTCGAACCTATGTGCGGTGAATATCAAGCCTCATTAAAAAATCTAAAACGTATCATTTAGAGGAATTAGAGAACCCTTCATTTTTTTCTTTTTCAAAAGGTGTATGGGTTAGAATGACCTATCTAAGTCGAACAGGGCGTTATGGCCTAATGACCTCCCATAGGTCGCTGCTTGTAAAGCACAAGGCGCGCGTATTAGAATATTAAGCTAAGATAAAACAGAACAATCTTGCAAGCAACTGACAAGGCCTTCCTCAGGCGCTGACTGAGGCAGTCAATCGGAACTATGTATCTCTGGAGAACTGGCACCAGACTATGTAAAGACTCTTACCTTGAAAAAAGAACTCTGTATGTTCTCTTAAGGGAACTATATTAAAGTGTCGGGTGAAGCTATGAAAGCCTACTACAGTTCAAAATACAGCAAGATGTTTTGTTTTACAGTTGCTGTCCAGCTCGCAGGCTTTGGCAAGGTCAGAAACTAAAGTCTTAATTGAAAATCAGCAGGATATCTCTTTCCTTGGAGGCCCCTCACACCTCGAAATTGTCTCTCCAGTCTTTTCTGGAGGTCCAAAGGTGAGTAAAGCTATCCAGTATGAACGTGGGTGTTATCTCCTCATCCAGTATGAACATGGGTGTTATCTCCTCATCCAGTATGAACATGGGTGTTATCTCCTCATCCAGTATGAACACTGGTACCATCTCCTCATCCAATATGAACACGAATGTCATCTTCTCGTTCAGAAGTGTTTTATCTATCTAGAGAAGCAGTTCGGCAAATACTGTAGCGGGTACTTTCCACTCGAGGTCAGTGTCTGGCTGTGTTGGCTGTCCTGTGTCTTTGTACGAGCTTGTGAAGCAGTTGACACGATGCTTGCTCTCCAGAGCCCCAGTGTCGTCTGGACCGTGTCTAGCAAACAGGTTCGTGTCCTGAGCCCACACGGAATCCTTCAGAGCCAGCTGGTTATCTGAAGGCATGCCACAGTGCTTCCCCGGACCATCTTTACAAATGACATCATTACTATCTGATTTGCATGCATGTTTACTTTCCGGCTGCATCGTGGAGATCTTCAAGGGCCTTCTTGAAGAATTGCTTGTTCTTCAAGAAGCCTTCTTCTTCTGCTTGTCTGTAGACGTAGAACAGTACTTCCTGGGCCATCTTCTAAGTGTCTGATGGGCTTGCAGGTGATTGGCTCGTCCCCATCTTGACTCTGACTGTCTGTCTTCAGTTACTATTTCTTTTGTTCTATTCAGCATTGTATTTGAGCCAATATATGTGGTGATACTGTCTAGTGTCAGCGCCCATAGGAGCCTCCAGTCTCTCTGACTCCAGTGTTCCGAGAAGTTGACCCAGCGTACTGGATTTTACCTGGCTTTCTGTCTGTGTATCCGCCTCTCTCACCAGTTCTTATGGACTGTTAAGGTTTATCCAGTACTCTGTTGCCTCGCTCACTTGACAGAGGATACACAGTGTCTAGTCTCAGTTGGATACATGTCGTTGTAATAGATTCAGCCACTCGGAACAAGTTCCAAGTAGCACGGGCTATGGTTAGCCTGTAGTGAACTTACCTGGCACAGGAGCGGTGCTGTGTAGAATTCCCAGTTGGATACATGGAGGCTGATGCCATAGGATTATCTTGAGTCAACTAGTTTGTAACTTTTACATTGTAGGTCTGGTGACCCCCCTGAAGGTACGAGATAATAAATATGTGTGAGAATACAAGTATGTCATCTTATTCATCTAGAGAAAATGTGAGTGCATCAGGGTTGAGGTACATGCATAAATTATGAAATGTAGTGGAAGCTGTACAGGGTATAGGAGAAGATGACTTCTGACTCTTGGCAGCAAGTTTAAAGCTTTCCCTTACCGCTGCTGGGTGTGTGTGTGTGTTTTTATCCACCAAACACCTCGTGTCCGCTTACGAGCACACGAGGTGTTTGGTGGATAAAATTTAGAACAACTCGTAAAATTCTCCTGATTTTCCCGCGCGACTGTATGACACTTCTTGTACATTTTCGGGTCAGTGAATCCCTGACTGCTGGAGTGTGAAAGTCATACACTGAATGGCCAAGAGATGTTTTCAACATTTTATTATTTAATATACATATATATATGATCTTATTTTGGGTATATTATTTACCTCTTTCAGGACATAAGCCATGTCAGGGCTGCGGCCGCCGCCACCGACGTATGAGGAGGCCATGTTGGGACGCCCTCAAACCTTCCAGGAGGGCATGTTGGGACGCCCTCAGACCTTCGAGGAGGCCATGATGGGACGCCCTCATTCCTACGCTCCCTTCATGTTCCACCCTCATCCCACCGCCTGCCTTCACTACTATGTCTTCGTCAGTAACTTTTACACAGTTTTGACAAACATTTTAATATTTAACCTTCAGGAACATCCTATAATTTGTCTCCTGATCATTTCTTGGTTTATCACCATTCTCTAAAGTAATAAATTGACGTTCGCCAGTCTTAAGTGTTTTAATTGAATTCTACAAAATGTACGAACATAAAATAGATGTTTTTGATAATTTAATATCAAGTTATGCAAGCGAAGTAGCTTATATTGGTGCTGAGGGACTTGCCATATATGACTCCAACTTGATTATTTCTATTATTTCAACATTCCATCCACTTGGACTGATCAGTTCAGCGACGGCCTCGCTTCTTGCAGCTCGGCGTTCGATTCCCAATGATCCAAGTGGTTTGGCATCGATCCTTCGCTCTATCCTGCCTATCCCAGCTCCTATCCTGTCCTCGTATCCCTTCCATGTGCTATATAGGAGACTGGCTTCGCGCCTGTTCTGGGGTATAACACAAATTCTGCTCGAGTGTCTAGTTAAGGGTATCGAACCCACCTGTTCCCTTGGCAGGAATCTACGGTGCCCTCAGCGCCACCACTCTCCTACCCGGGGTCACCATCCGTCGCCACCATACCCAACAACTATGTGGTCCAACGCTCCGGGCTTGACCTCATCGCTAGCTTACACCAAGTCTGTCTCAGTAGTCGACAAGGTCAGTGATTGACCCTTGGCCAGATTCACGAAAGCACTTACGCAAGCACTTACGAACCTGTACATCTTTTCTCAATCTTTTGCGGCTTTGTTTACAATTATTAAACAGGTAATGAGCTCCGAAGCACCAGGAGGCTGTTATAAACAGCCTCCTGGTGTATTAAGTTTTAGTCTTAGTGTTTTTCCTGCCCGAAACGCTTTGCGTAATAGTGGCTTTAGGCATTGTATGTACTAGCTCTATCTACAAATCCATCAACTTTTGTATCTTACCTTGTATGTATGTACCTTACCTGAATAAATATTTGTATTTGTTTTTGTATTTGTAACAATAACAACAGTTGAATGGGAAGTTTTCATGCTTGTAAACTGTTTAATAAATGTAACCAAAACCGTCAAAGATTGAGGAAAGATGTTCACGTTCGTAAGTGCTTGCGTAAGTGCTTTCGTGAATCTGGCCCAAGGTCAGTGGTGCTCGGTAAGGTTATAAAGCTCGGTAAGATTTGCGGCTCTGACAGCTGGAATCAATAGCCCAGTCGACCTTATCTTCAGGTGAGGTTAGCTACCAGATTATTAGTTATCTAGTCATTTCTAGTGACTTGTGGTCGTTACCTCCTGAACCTCGTTACTGACTGCTGAAGGATCCTCCTTGTCAATCTTTGCTGACGATGTAAATATGACGAGACAAAATCACAACTGAAGAGATTTGTAGAATGTTTCAGGTAAAGCTGAACAGCCAAAAAGAGCTGGTTTGAAAAATGGCTTCTCGAAATTAATCTAACCAAATGCAAGGTGATGACAATTGGACCGGAGTTGAGGAGGAAACAGCAGGATTATAGAATAATGGGAAGGCAAATGCTTGTCATAGAAAGAAATATAATTTAAGAGTAAATATATGGCCATATCTACTCTCAAATATACTTGATTAGATATATAGGAGGTATAACTATACCTATAGGTATACCTATAGACCTTACTATGCTGGAGAACAGAAAGGAAAAAAGGGAGACATGATTACGACATGTGAGATATTTAGAAGCATTGATAAGTGGATAAAAGGAGGCAGGACGAGTGGGCATGCAAGAGTAGACGAGCCTCAGTGCTAGAGTAGTGTGCAACCCGGTTATGTTACAAAGGAAGGTAGCACACACATGTTCGTTTGCTCAAAGAAAATGTTGTTTGTTGGTGTGACTAGGTACTAGTCACACCAACAAACTAGTATCACAGGCTATGGCGAGCCCGTAGTGAACTTGGCACAGGAGCGGGGCAAGTATCACAGGGTATGGCAAGCCCGTAGTGGACTTATCTGACAGTCAGATGCTCCCTAATTCTTACATACTTACTAAGAGTGGCCTCGCTTCCCCCTCAGGGGACTCGTACGTGTTCACGGACATAACGAGGAGCCTCCTGTACACGGCGACCATCGCCACGGAGGTGCGGTGTTGGTGCTGCGCGGCGCCCACGGGGCCAGGCATCACCTTCAACCTCACCAGCAGGAACGGTCACCACGCCCTCGTCGTCCAGCGCCTCGCCAAGCACTCCTGCTGCTCCTCCACCGAAACGGTCAGTGCCTCTCCTACAATAAAACCACTTGGGCTGGATGGTAGAGCGACGGTCTTGCTTCATGCAGGTTGGCGTTCAATTCCCGACCGTCCAAGTGGTTGGGCACCATTCCTTTCCCCCCCCCCGTCCCATCCCAAATCCTTATCCTGAACCCTTTCCAGTGCTATATAGTCGTAATGACTTGGTACTTACTCCTGATAATTATTTATTTCTCCTATACTAATGTATTTTGTCGAGGGGGGACACGCAGCCTGTGTATATATAAGCTAGATTTATTTCAAGATCGCCTCAAGGTCGTACTCATTACCTTCAGCAGGATGCAACCCCACAACAGTTAATTAAACAGTCTCCGTGGTGTAGTGGTAAGACACTCGCCTGGCGTTCCGCGAGCGCTATGTCATGGGTTCGTATCCTGGCCGGGGAGGATTTACTAGGCGCAATTCCTTAACTGTAGCCTCTGTTTAACGCAACAGTAAAATGTGTACTTGGATGAAAAAACGATTCTTCGCGGCAGGGGATCGTATTCCAGGGACCATAGGATTAAGGACTTGCCCGAAACGCTACGCGTACTAGTGGCTGTACAAGAATGTAACAACTCTTGTATATATCTCAAAAAAAAAAATTAACTCTAGATCCATTTTACGGCCAGATGAACAAAGGCAGCCATTTCTGTCCCGCCCGGGATTCGAACCCGGGCTTGTAATAACCCATCTTACTTGCGTAGTAATAATCTCCCTTGGGAATGTTCCCTACAGAACGTGACTGTGTGCATCCCGCCAGACGTGACCCTGGGCACCGTGGACGGCATGGAGCTACACTGTGTCATCTGTAACTCTTCCGGCGACGTGTTGTGTGACGTGGAGCAGGAGGAGGTGTGCTGCTCCTGTACCGCGCTCCCCTACCAGGTCCGTCCCCCCCCCTCCCCTGCACTCTCTTACCAGGTCCGATATATATATATGTCGTACCTAGTAGCCAGAACGCACTTCTCAGCCTACTATGCAAGGCCCGAGTTGCCTAATAAGCCAAGTTTTCATGAATTAATGTTTTTTCGATTACCTAACCTACCTAACCTAACCTAATCTAACTTTTTAGGCTACCTAACCTAACCTAACCTATAAAGATAGGCTAGGTTAGGTTAGGTAGGGTTGGTTAGGTTCGGTCATATATCTACGTTAATTTTACCTCCAATCAAAAATTTGACCTCATACATAATGAAATGGGTAGCTTTATCATTTCATAAGAAAATAATTAGAGAAAATATAGTAATTCAGGAAAACTTGGCTTATTAGGCAAATAGGGCCTTGCATAGCAGGCCGAGTACGACGTTCTGGCTACTAGGTACAACATATATATATATACGATACCAAGTCCGATATATATATATATATATATATATATACGATACCAGGTCCGATATATATATATATATATATATATATATATATATATATATATATATATATATATATATATATATATATATATACGGCTTATTACTTTAGCCGCATATAGCTAATTACTATAAGCCTGTAATTAGCTTATAGTATTAGAACTGCCCAAACGTCTAGTGCATTGTATCTACTCACAAGTTTGTGTGATCACACTATTAATTGGGAAGGAATGAAAAGCATTACCAAGTGTAGCGGTTTCGTGCAACGGAATTTGATTGAGTCTGCCCTAATCAGTGTCCAAATGTTCTCGGTGTTAGTACTGGTATGTACAAACTTGATCCATTTTTAAGTTACAATATTGCACAACAGTTTAAGAAAAACCTCTGATAAGGGGAGTTATAATGTCTCATTACAATAGTATAATCATATATTATGTGTTTGTTCGGTGAGGCTTTTGGTTTAATCTTACTTATTCTCTGATCGCTTAATCCTCCTGACTATTCTAAGCTAATCTATACCTATTTCTGGGTAAATCTTTCCCTGGGGATGGGTGGTCAGGTCCCAGTTGTTGGCCTCCACTCTCCCTCTGTTTCTCCTTGAAATTGAAAATGAAATTGAAATAAGTTTATTGAGGTAAAATACACACAAAGGGATGAGGTAGCTGAAGCTATTCTCACCCCGTTCAGTTCATCGTGTTAATACATACATAGACACACATCACAAACAATAAACATATTACCGAACATTCTGAGAGATAAACATATACATTTCCTCCTTTACACAAGTAGTTGACTAGTGTTGCCAGATTGGGCTATAAGTAGCGAATTGGGCTACTTTTGAAAGCCGCCGCGCTCCTAATTTGTTTATTACGCTACTTGCGACATTTGGGCTAATTTAAAAGCACTTTGGGCTATTAATGTTAACAAAACTCAATGATGATTATTTATTCCTTTATAATGTAATGTGTACAAATTACAGCCACGTCCAACAGCCTGATTGACTAGACCACTTACCACATGAGGCTTGGTCAGAGATTATAATAATAATATAATATATGAATTATAATATATAATGTTGACCAGACCACACACTAGAAATTGAAGGGACGACGACGTTTCGGTCCGTCCTGGACCATTCTCAAGTCGATTGTGACTCATCGCCTGCATATAATATATAATATTTATATATTTATTCAGTAGTGGATGAGGGTAAATACTCTCTACACTACCAGTCTCATTTTTTCAACCATTTACCCACTTTCTCATTTATTTTAAGTGCTTTAAAATTGTTCCAACTATCTACTTTAAGGTTGTACATTTCTTCAAATATCTACTCCATTCGTCGTACCTGGAACCATATGGCTGTCATATAATGTTATACAAAACCATTGCTAACATTCACTATTCTCAGGAGCTTCACATATTTATCACTGCCAGAAACTCTACGCGTGCTAGTGGCTTTACAAGAATGTAAACAAGAGTTCTAATGAATTGTAACGTGATTATTAAGTGAATGTATTAATCCATCGACTTGAGAGTGGTCCAGGACGGACCGAAACGTCGTCGTCGTTCCTTCACCTTCCAGTGTGTGGTCTGGTCAACATACTTTAGCCACGTTATTGTGACTCCTCGCCTGCATATTAATAAGTTAAATTAATGTGGTTGCAGGTGACGCCTAATGGCTACCCTCACGACAAGGGTAGCATAGCCCACTCCAGGGACGGTCTCCTTATCACCTTCCCCGCTGTCTTCGACCTGCCCACCCGCACCTTGCTGCTCTGCTGTGCTCTCAACCTGGTGGGTGCTCTCACCTGTGTGTGTGTGTGTGTGTGTGTGTGTGTGTGTGTGTGTGTGTGTGTGTGTGTGTGTAATTAGTAGTAGATAGATGATAAATAAGTCGGGAGTCGGTAAATTAGACAGGCGGGGTCCAAGAACTAACAGCTCGATCCTACAGGCACACATAGCAAATACACACACACACACACACACACACACACACACACACACACACACACACACACACACACACACACACACACACACACACACACTATATATATATATATATATATATATATATATATATATATATATATATATATATATATATATATACAACGAGATATACATATATATATACTGTATACCAGTTCTCCGGGGGCTAGAAGCCTGTGTATATATACACATTAGACTAATATCAAGGTCCCCCCCCCCCCAAAGGTGAAACTATTGACCCTCCCCAGGATGCAACCCCCCATAACATTGGCCTAACTCTCCGGATACCTATTTAGTACTAGGTGAAGAGATGCATTAGGAAAAAGGAAACATGCCCAATCATTTCCGTATCGCCCAGTATCTCCGATTGCATGTGGTAAACGAAGCCAACTCTACTACAGAGCCAAGCATATATGTAAATTTCTAAATATCTTCATCTTGGCACAACAGTGCTAAAGGGGGGGAGGGTACCAAAACAGGTGCCATCATGCAGATGATGAGTCACAATAACGGGGCTGAAGTATGTTGACCAGACCATACACACTAGAAAGTGAAGGGACGACGACGTTTCGGTCCGTCCTGGACCATTCTCAAGTCGATTCTCAAGACAATCGATTTGAGAATGGTCCAGGACGGACCTAAACGTCGTCGTCTCCTTCATTTTCTAGTCTGTGGATTGGTCAACAGGTGTCGTCATGAGACATACCACAGTAACCTCGAATTGTCGCGCAAAATATTACGGACATTAACGGAGCGTGTTATGGCAACCGGTTGCCAACCAATACACAGTTGCCACAACGGTTCAGACAACGTGCGAGGGAATGGTTGTCCTCACACTGAGGTTAAGTAATAATTGAAATTACGAAGCAATAAGATGTTTATCTTAACATACTAAGAAGGTTAGGTAAGGACGGTGTTTTCTATGAAGCTTTTCAAGGTAAACTAGTATGTTTAGTATGTCACATATGCACGTATTTAATAAGTCAATATTGACTGTAAGAAAGTGCGAGAACGGGTTGCACACAAGCCTGGGCTACCTCGTCCCTTTGTGTGTGTTTATACCTCAATAAACTGGGTCCGTCTAATTACCACAAGCTACCACAAGCTTCAGAAAGCTTCCTGGCAATACGTTAGTAATGAATAAATATGTTAGGTTAGGCTGACCTGACCTAACCTAACCTAACTTAACTTAACTTCACGTGCCCGAAACGCTACGCGTACTAGTGGCTGTACAAGAATGTAACTCTTGTATATATCTCAAACTTAACTTAACTTAACCGAAGCTTGGATCGTCGACTTGATTTGGCGTCACCAGCTTTTTAGTTTCGTCTAATTTCTTTATAAAAAGATACTTTTTCAGATTAAAATTATGTTTTTTCGTGTTGTACATTCAGCACCAACATTATAATGAGTAAATATATCATATATATTTTATATTTTTTTATTTCAATTTCAATGACACAATAGGTTATTCATTATAGGTCACCAGAAGATAACTGTACTGAAAAAATGTGCAGTAATTATAATAATAATGTTTCTATTAATAAACATTATGTACAGTAAATTTATTTCGAACTGAAGTTCATATGTTAAATGTTTAACTTTGTTCTCCCTTTATTATTATAATAAAAGTACTGTTAATCTATAAGTGTTGATGGAAAGCTTTTTTTCGTTTTTAAAGGAGCGTGTCAAGGGTCAAGGGTCAAGGGTCAAGGGTCAAAGGGTTTAAAGTCAGCGTGTGCTCCTACCTTGTTATATGTAACTCACCTAGTTGGCTTGCAGCGGGTTGAGCTCTGGCTCTTTGGTCCCGCCTCTCAACTGTCAATCAACTGGTGTAAAATATATGTGATATATATTATTTACTATAGCTTAAGTGCGAGCTATAATTTACCTGAACTTACCTGATAGTCATTATATATATCTCCCCTAGTGGCCTTGTCGGGGACAGCTAGGACCCGGCGGCTTGTCAGAGCTCCCCTCTTCCCATCAATCCCCTCCTCTCTCTCTCCGTTGTTTCTGGGGATTTTTTTTCTCTCTGGATTTTAAACTGAAGTAACGTCTTGGAATTTATAACGTGGGGGAATGGGGCTCACCATCTTCAAGCTCTGACTATATACATGTTTCTTTTCCAGCAATACGGTAAGGAACTACAGAGGCGGGAAGGCGCAGGGTAAGACGTCCCTCAAATATTGAACATTTGGCATATACAAATTACAACATTTAAGGAAAAATAAGATTGAACTAGAGGAACAAAATAATTGGTGAAGTGTATCTTTATGTTCTTATGTAATGTCTACCAAGCCTGAATATTATATCTACCACACCACAGTATGGTTGAACTGACTCGAGGATTTGATTCCACTGGTTGAAACACGATCTGTACAACAATTAAGCATCATTTTAGGCACGTAGAGTCGGGGCATGTCATATGGTGTTTCTCCGGAACATTACAGCTCTTGTATCCTTAGTCTTCACGGAAATTCGTAAATAGTGTTCAAAAAAATAATTCCCCCAGAAGATTATAGGCCTCCAGAATAGTGAATTCACCTGAGAGCCACCATCTCTAGTGGCCTTGACGGGGACAGGAAGCCTTGAGGGCCACCATCTTGACTAACACTGACTTGACCGGGACAAGCAGGCCGAGGCTTGCCAAAGGTTTCCCCATAATTCCTGTCCAACACGGGAGACATCTCCCGTCACGCAGGGTGCAGTCGCACCTCCACAGATCTCCAGTATCATCTCTTGATACTGGTAATGGCTCAAAAGGGCCACCACTTACGGGCAATTCATGCCCGTGCCACCTTTTGGGTGGCTTAATCTTCATCAATCAATCAATCCTGTCCAATATTGTGTCTTGTTTAGTCTGAAACGGCTGTCTCTTGTATAAGTTACATTGGACCTTTTAAAGAAGTGAATTACTATCTTCAGAACACTTAAGTTCTCCACAATATACTGACCTCTTCGCCCGGCCATCATCTGGGACGCGACCCGTATTGGAACTGCATTATGATCTCTCTCCAGTTACAATTTGTCACGGTTTAAATATTTACGAAATCACAACTTCATTACACACAGAGATCACACTTACGTGATGCATCAAATGAACAAATCCACAAGGGCCGTGACGAGGATTCGAACCTGCGTCCGGGAGCATCCCAGACACTGCCTTAATCTTGTGGATTTGTTCACAACTTCAACATTTAACACATTTTAAAAAGGTGTGGTTTCTTCTAAGAATTGTTTATGCAACATTTTACATTCTTTAAAGATTTTGTTAATACAAATAATTAAATATTCGTCTTGATATGTTGTAAATATTGTCCACACCTACATTACAATTTCATAGTTGTGTACCAAATGAACTGCATATTTATTAATTCTAAACATTTTGTAATGCAATGAAAGACACTTCTATATTTTATTCACAACTTTGTATAAATTTTAAGTATTGTAGTTAGATTACAAATGAAATCACAAAATATTTTGTATCTCTTAAATAAATCCAGAAATTGCAGGGAAATATGCAAATAAACTTAAACCATTATCTTGTGTATCAGTTGGTCATGTCCCACACTTGTACAACGTAGTAAAATAAAAGGTAAATACGCACGAATTTCACTATTCAATTCTCTCTCTCTCTCTCTCTCTCTCTCTCTCTCTCTCTCTCTCTCTCTCTCTCTCTCTCTCTCTCTCTCTCTCTCTCTCTCTCTCTCTCTCTCTCTCTCTCTCTCTCTCTCTCTCTCTCTCTCTCTCTCTCTCTCTCTCTCTGACTTCATCAAAATCTCAAAGGAAAGAGGGTCACTGATGGAGCCGAAATTTCTTTAAGATAGGCACTGTGGCCGACCTCAACCAGCCTATGACAGTCATATACCAGCCATGCGTCATCTTAAAGAGTTGGGTGCCGCTATCTCCGAGTGCCTCACCTCCATTCTTAAAGATACAGATGTACAATCTCATCATTACTTAACAATGAACCAGAATTCCTTCGATTTAATACAATTTATGGACAATAATATTAATAGAAGTTAACAAATAAAACTGACATTTCGGGCCATACTCCTCAATGTCTCTCAAGAGAGAATCTGAGCAGTTTTATATTTTCGGGCCCCGTGGCGCGGTTGTAAAACATTCGACTCGCGCTAAGCGGAACTGGTTGGCCTGGGTTCGTATCCTGGCCGGGGAGGATTGACTAGGCACCAGTTCTTAACTGAACGCCTCTGTTCACCCAGCAGTGAATGAGTACCTGGTTGTTAAACGATTTGGCGGGTCGTATTCCGGGGAAAATTAAGATTAAGGACTTGCCCGAAACGCTATGCCTGCTAGTGGCTTTACAAGAATGTATATACATAAGAACTTTTCTACATATAGACAAAAAAAAGTGTCTTTATTAACACATTTAGATACACTTGCATTTATGTAGCTACCTTAGACTACATGAAGGGTTACACAGTGTGTCAAGAACTATAGCCAGGTAATGCTAAAGGTCCCCATCACACAGGACAGTTAGTCATAGAGGACCATGTGATCAGTAGTCAACACTGACAATCTCTGGGGGCATTATAAGGATATCCTGCAAGGACATGAGAGTGGATGGAGGTGGCAGTGATACAGAAATATCCCCATGTGCCAATGGCGTGAAAACTTGCCAGCGATATACATGAAAAAAGGAAATATGGTTCTTGTAATTATCGGCTAATCAGCTTAACATTAGTATGCCAGTTATATTTAAATACCTTTCAACAATTCATTCATCCATGGTCTTCACGATGGTTCAATTGGCGACTGAATACCGTTCCTTCACTCCATTTTCATAGAATAATAATAATAACAAAACAATTTTATTTCAGAAATATGAAGAATAAGCTGAAACAGCTAATGCATATAAATTTCTTTTTACATAAATATACATATTTACTAAACCCAACTCCTTGTACTTCTATCCCTTCCAAATGACAACACAAATCTTTTAATATCTCTTAATATCTTTAAATCCAAGACCTACTGAAACGTATTAATCTACTCTCGCCAATGACGCAATCTTGCCCGAAACGCTATGCGTATTAGTGGCTTTAGGTATTGTATGTACGAACTCTATCTATAAATCCAACATTATGTTTGTAAATCAACTATGTATGTACTTTTCCTGAATAAAAAATTAATTTAATTTAAATTTAATTTAACCTAAATTAAATTATATTTCAGTTACCCAAGCAGCCAGCACCAAAGAAAATGAAAGTGGTGCCCGCAGGAGAAGCGAGCACCAGCCGCAGCCATAACAACAACAACTCGTGCTCACTAAGGCTCAGGAGGCTGCAAGGAGTGGCCAGAGGAGGCGTGAGAAGTGACACTCGAGTCTAACCAACCCGGCGGGAGTGGCGCCACGCAGGGTAACTCCTACAGGTGCCGGCAGGGAGTAACCCTCGTATAAACTTCACAGGTATGGTTAAGTTTAACGCAGGAGTCGACGGAGCTCATTTTCTGTTTGTTGGTGTCGTATTGTTAGGATGGATTACCTTAGGCTGGGCTGTGTTAGACTCGGATTTCCGTATGGCGGAGAAAAGCTCTAAAGCCCAAAGGCTATTGTATTGCTTAGAGGTAAGTCAGCTTAGAGGATAAAATTAGAGGGTCCTGGTAGTACAGTCGTGTTCGTTCTCGACCGACAATCAAGAATTCTGGGTTCGAATCCCATGCAAGACAGAAATAGCTGGACGTATTTCCTATCACCTAATGGGCCTGTTCATCTAGCAGAAAGTAGGTATTCAGGAGTTAAGTCAGCTTGTTGTGGGGTTGCATCCTGGGCGGGGTCGGTAATTTTACCTTGAGGGGAATTACGACATGAGCCTAATGTGTATAAACACACTCCGCTGCGTGTCCCTCTACACAATGAATTATCATCATTTTAAAATTCCCGATTGGTGGAAATTTTTTGCGCCTTAAGGCGGATAAATGCACTATAAGGCAGATTTTTGGTCACACCCTGGTGTTTCCAGGGAATGGGTGTGCTAGACCCATGCCCTGCACAGAACCCCCTGGAAGACTTTCAACATCCTGTGACCCTAAATGATAATGCATTAGGCATCTTGAGAACTCTGGGTAGCCAGACAAAGTCAAAGCAAAGTAGCAAAATCATGAAGCCCGTCTAATACTGTAAACCCAATCAGGCAAAATTCAGCAATGTCTTTCAGTGATCTCCAGCAGAGTAGGCATCAGACGTCCACCACACCCCATGAGTACACTAGGAGTCCACCAAAGTTTTTTTTTTTTTTTTTAGGTTAGGTAAGTTTTAAAATTCTTGGGTGAACCATCTTGTGTACGATGTAACATATCTAAATCTTATACAGAGGCTTCGGCAATGCTCGTTTTCTGATTGTCAAACCATATAGTAGAAGAGTAGGAGTTCTGGGGAGTAGAAGAACTCCCAGAACCCCATCAACCAGGTATCAACCAGGTATCATATATATTATTAGCTTAAGTTAGGATTAGTTGGATAAGGTTAGGTAGGTTTTAAAATCCATTGGCAAACTTTATGTACAATGTCACTTTTATTCAAACTGCACATATTTTAAGGAATGTTTATTTTTTCAGGCTTTAATTTAATAGCTACTACTGGGAAGATGGAGGTGATCAAAAGAAGAGAAGACGAGACAAGATCTAGGCTTGGTATGTGCAGTGTGTGCCGTGTGAACAAGGCCAAGTACACCTGTCCAGCATGTAGCATAAAGTCATGCTCCCTCTCGTGTGTCAAGGCCCACAAGCAGTGTGAGGGATGTAGTGGGGTCCGCAACAGGGCTGCTCTTGTCCTCAAAGATGATATGGATAATCTCACACTTTTGAGTGACTATAGGTACAGTATTGTTAAAATGTTATTGGACCCAAGTTCAATTCCCAGGCAGGGGATGAGTCATTTTACCAAGTTTTCTTGCCCCAAAGACTATGGGGAACTGTTCCATTTAATTTCTTAAATCTATACTGATGCTACTCATTGCACTTTCTCATATTTATATAAATATATAAAATGCAAGTGATTCCTCAGTTCACTTAACATTAAATAGATATCTGGGAGTTAGACAATTGGTGTGGGTTGCATCCTAGGGAACGTCAATCTGTTCCCTAGGGTGACCTCTGTAACCCTAGTGGGCTTCCTGTCCTCCAACAGGTAGAAACCAGTAGTGTAAAGAGTATCCTCTTGTGGCAATTGAAGTGGTTAAACAACTTACCTTGCACAGATCATGTTGGTTTCAGGTCACTTTGTACTCACCTACTCACCTAATTGTGCTTGCGGGGGTTGAGCTTTGGCTCTTTGGTCCTTCCTCTGCGGGACAAAAGTGCATAAGGTGATTTGCCAGCATATATTTAAATCTACCTTTTGCTGTAATCAATCCTAACATAAATGAGAGGGATTACAGATGGGCCCTGACTTTCCATAAAATGCTGTTTCATTACATTCAATGATTGATCTTTGACAAGCAGGCAGAATTAGGTTAGTGATTGCATAGCACTATTCCCTAGGCACCATCCTTCATTCTTGTATTGTATTTTGTCCAGGGGCAAATGGCCTGGTGACACGTCTCTGCAGTCTAATTACTGGACATGGTTTCGTACAATTGTTTTCCTCTGTACATTCCTGTCCAACAGCTTAGGTTAACTCTTTGCTTTTGCCACAGTGTCATTCTCAAACTGCAGCTCTGTAGCCCTTGTGTAGCCTTTCTCTTTTTCACACTCCTCCTGAGGGGTATGAACTGTTCTGTTACTTCTTTGCATTTGTGTTGTGAGTATGGGCATTAATGATCTCATTTCCCAATTTTGCAGATTTCTGATAAGATCACCCTTTAGGCCTTGGGTTAATGTTATAGGTTATATATAATATTAACCTGAAGCTTCACATTTTTCAACCATTAATTGCAAGTATATGAAATATTATTTTCAGGTGTCAGGTATTCAATAGAAAATGTCTACAGGTATTCATAAAGTAATTTTATACAGTATAACTATGCATACGAAGTAATGGATTGAGATTTATTTTGGATATTCTTTTAACTTGAATATTTTTTTTAATTGTTTCAGACTTCTTGAAGAGATTGACCATAAGCTTGAGGATAATTTAAGGCATCCATTAAGGCGCCATGTAATGAGAAGTTTGAAAGATAAACCTTCCCTACCACATTTCCTCCATCGCTTGAGGAATGAAGCTTGGAACCGAGGTACAACATTAAAATTTATGCCCAGTCACTTTGCAAGTCGTCGGGAAAATACTTCTAGATTCAACTTCAAAGAAGGAATTATAAGGTTAGCAATGCAAAAATGTATTTTTGTATATCTTTAATCAAATGTTTCTTATACACAGGATAAAGTCACTGGTGTCTGGATATCGGTGTCTAATCTCATATGTAATACACACATACTTACAATACTTAGATTGTAACTACAAAAATGCCTAGAACTTATTCATCAAATATTGCCCACAAACATACTTTAACATAAAAAGAATCGTGTAAAAATTTGTTAAGAGTGTATACATATTATAACATTAAAGTTTCCATGATTCAGTACATGGTTCTTAAGATCTTTAAATTTAAGGTGGTTATACCTATTTGATTTAATTTGTTCTTTTTTGTATTTGGGCCTTTAAACTGCCACATGACACTGGGATAGACATCTTGAAAGGGGCATTATGGTGTAATAAAAGGTCTCTTGAGACGGGACTGAAGTCAGCCTTTGCTTCCAGTCTTAGGACATTAAAACCAAGTATGTCTAGATCAATCAATAATGCCACTGACACATGCCAAACACTCAACCCCTTACCTTGCATATTAATATCAGACCTTAACAGTCAGTGGTTTTTGAGAAACGAGTCCCTGAATGTACGGATGCACGGGGAAAATACACTTTTATTTTTCACCAACCAATTTGAAAACTGCATTAACCACTGCACTGTGCAGTGCACTTTAAGGCGCCCGATCGTGGGTGTGCAGAGCGCCATAGGGTGCTTTTAGGTATACAGAGTGATTCAAAACTCCCACTGGTACACGGGGCTCACATCGTGTGCTTCAGGACTACAGTAAACAGACGCCATCTTGAAAAAAAAATAGCCAGCATCCATGCTGGCTGTGAGAGCCTTAGTACTGAGAGAGCGACCAAGGCTGGCGTTTGCAGGAGCAGCTCGCAGCACCGCTGTGTAGTGAGGGGCCACAGCACCACTTAGTAATGGTGAATAAAATAGGCAATTGAAATTATTTTACATTGATAGTGTCATAGATGATCCTGACTGATAAAGACTATGTACAATGTTCAGATATCAGTGAATACAATGCTAGTTATGATATTCATAGCATGAGGTACAGACACAGCATGCAGCCATTGTATCCTGCATCTACACATCATGAAACGAGTTTAAGTTCCTTTACAATACAACCCTGTTGAAATGGATTCATATTTCTTATACTGTTCTTGCTAGGAGGATGTTGAACAACTGTAGATTTCAAATGTTCATAGTGTTCTCTGATTGTGCCTATGGCACCTCGACTGCTCACTGGCTCTATTCTGCATTTCCTTCTATATTGTTCTCTCCAGTAGTGTCTTTTTCAATTTATACCATAAAATTTGCAATAAACCCAAGACAAACTGTTTTTCAGTCCATGAACATCAATAAATTTTTCAAGTATCCAGAGACCTGCAACTTTACCCCTGCCTATGGCTAGCATGCAGGGCTCGGCTGCAAATGAGCAGAGCTTGGCATGAAAACCACACCAACATAGTCAAGTGATATCACTCCCCATCAATGGGCTTTGCTTCATAGAGCAAATCCACATATTACCCAGAAGCAAAATTACTCATGAGGAGTTAATCCTTAGTGGGGGTGAGGCCCTAACTCAGCAAGGGAGACATGTCAGATACCAGAACAGATAACCTTAAAACAGCCAGAGGAAAATGTAAATACAGAGGTATTTTACCTAACCATTTATAAAAACAACAAAAATATGTCCTTAACAATTGCACTATGAAGTTTTGCCAAAAACAGGTGTGCAGTGCAGGGATTAAAACAGAGGAAAATGTAAATACAGGGGTACATGCATGACAGGTACCAAAAAACACAAACGTGAAACCTGAAATGGAACAAAAACAAAGCAATGGCTCCAAAGGAAAGAAAGATTCCAAGGATGGCCAGGACCACTTATCTGAAAGCAAGAAACTGAATAAGGGCTCAGCATAGATGTGCAATCCAGGTAGCCCCCCAGGCAAGTGAATGAGGTGTTCAGCTAACTAATAAGACCTTGGTTGACCTGGGCTGCCTGCCATCTAGTGGTAGCTGTGAACATGCCTGGGGTATTTACCCTGTGACAATAATTATTTGTCTTCTTTTCTTTAGGGTTGTTAATTTCTTTCAAGCAATTGCTTGATTTGATGGTTGTTTTTTCTGTTGTGGATTGATTTTTTATCTCGCCTCATCGGGAGATCCAAATTCTGTTCTGAGCTCGTGGTAGTCTTGAATCAGTCTCAGTGGTGCGATTTCTTAAGGCTTTGTAGGCCCAGTGCTGAGGCTACAAGGGCCCAATCTTAATTTCTTATGGCTGTGAACAATATCTTGTTTGCCGTTAGTAAATGTCTAACATGCTTTCCGAAATGGCCCATTGTCATGCTGACAGTCATTTGGACAATGTTCTGTCCACTTAGCTTTATCTTCGGTGCTGGGGGTGACCTCAACACACATACAAAGGTCTTTTCTCTAGTTATTTCCAGCATGAGCTAATTCAGTATCTGACACAACCATGTATGTTTTACCCCCAGGAGTAGGATAATTATTTAGTTGGATAAATCAGCCTGTCCTGGAATGATATTTGTTTCCCTACAAAATAAGGATCTATCTTTAAAATACCTACTGGGTTTGGAATGATGTTTGTGCAACTAAGTGGATTTTCTTTGAGAAATGATTTCAGCATTGGAAGATTGTTATTTATTTCACTCGAGTTTACGTCTTCCACCAATTTATTTTTCTGTGGTATGCACAATTGAATATGTTTCATCCTGCCCCTTATTTTGGTTATCTGACATTTTTTTTACACAACATACTGGACACTGAGTAATACAAAAGAATTGATCAATAATTAGTTTTTATTGCAACATATAACATGGTTTGATTTCCTTGCATTATTTCAGTCTATGTTAGTAGCACACCTGCTTAGTGTCAGATGACCCCCAGTGCATTGTCAAGGGGTAAACTGCAAAAGGGCTGGTGAGAAGAACACCAAGCTGATGCACCCCTCCACAACAAGTGAGTGTTGGAGCTAAAGCAAAGCGAACTCAGAAATGTGACTCCTCCGGAAGCTTACCTCTGACCAACAATAAACAAGGACCTGCTGAGACTTGGGGGCAGAGCCACACTGCAAAAACAGGCTACTAAGGGGCAGAAACGCTTCGGCCACAGGTGAAGGAACCAAAAACACAGCATCCTTAGGAAAAAAAATATGCAAATAGGGTGAGGAGGATAAAACGGGACAAGAAAGCTGAATTTAAGGCATGGGCCAGCACATAGACAAAATAGACGAGCAAAATAGAAGCCTGCCTTCACTTCCCAAAGGAGAGGAACAAGCAACTTTGGCTGTACCTCTTAAGCTCCAGCCGCAGGCAACAAAGGTGCAACCGCAGGCTTACAGAGTCCAAGGACTTTAAATTGCTTCCACACAAATGCCAGAAGCTTAGTAAATAAATTTGATGCATTGTGTGCATATGCTGAGGCTGAGAATCCCCACATTATTGGCATCAGTAAAACATTGGGATGAGACGACATTACTTGAGAGGCATCAATGACATAGATAAGAATATTACAAACCACATCATCAGATTTGCAGGTGACACTGACACTCAGAGAGAAGTGAAAAAGATGTTGAGGTCTTACAGAGAGAGAGATCTACATGAAGTCCACAAATAGTCAGAAGACTGGCAGAAGACTTTTTAATATAGAAAAATGCAAGACCTTTCCTGTAGTGCATTACAATCCATGTCAAAATTTCCAAATTAACAATGTTACCTGGCAGCAAAATGACGAAGAAAGGGACCTCAGAGTCAGAATCCATCATTCAGTGGAAGTTTCACAACAAGTGGGAGCGGCAGTAAGAAACTCTTACCAAACCCTAGGAATAATCAAACTAATTTATGATGTTAAGGAAAATAAGGAAGTTATTAAACTGTATAAATCTCTGGTGTGCCCCTACCTGGATTGCTTTATCCAAGCATGGAGACCTCATCTGAAGAAAGAGATGCGTAGCTGCTTTGGAGAAAGTTCAACACCAGGCAACAAAAATCATACCAGAACCAAGTTGACTCATACCAGGAATGAATGGTTGAGGGCCTTAGTGCTAACAACACTGCAAACCAGACATAATAGGGCAGATCTCATTGATACTTTTAAAATACTGAACAATTTGAAGGATATGGATTAAGACAACTTTTTCAAAAGGTCAGATGTAACACAAACAAGGAGCAATGGTTTCAAGCTTAACAAGTTACCCATGGAACTGCCTACCCACTGAAGCCACAAATGTCAAAATACTGCTTAATTTTAAAATCCAGCTTGAAAAAATCAGGACAAAGGGGGGGGGCCTTTGACAAGCGCCAGCTTCCTGTCCTTGTTGAGGCCACTAGAGTGTTAGTGGCCCTCCACTAAATTCAGGTATATATTCATGCAGCATGAAGCAAATATTAAAATAAAAAATAAATACATAAGCAAATGACTCTAGCAGGACAAAAATGCAGTCCAGGATGGCTAGCACTTGCCTGAAAATCAAGATCAGATGGACAGTAGGGGAAGAAGAGGAGCATAATAGCAAACATGTTTAATGAGCACATCAGGCAATATGACTGGGGGTTCAAGGTTGGTGGCTCAAGAAAAAAAAAAGGTTTGCAGCCCTCTGGTGGCATGCAGGTGTAACTAAAGTGAGAATTGATTCATCACCGAGTGGGCCATGAATTTTGTGGCTTTACTGCCCCATTTTCTATTGTTTATTTACCTTGCTGTAGTCCCCTTTGACTTTTCCCCCCCTTTCATGTAGCCTTCTCTTTGTTTGTGAGATTCACGATCCCCTGCAATTTGGTCCCCAGTAGGTTTCTATATGCAACTCACAAGGGCCTGGTGTGGATTGACATTGGCGGAAGCACCCAGGTGCCACCAGGTGCATCAAGGTGCCGCCAAGGACCCACTAGAAAGAGCAATTTCATTACCTTCAATGATGGTTTTGTTTTTCATAAACTTTGTATTTTCCCTTTATTCATTTGAAATATCAAAAATGCATTTGCATAATGAGAGTTACAGATTGAGTGGATTTATTGGTATATAAAAGAACAGGGGTAATATTCACTAATCTGGAAATTACTTGATTTCATCTGTTTAGATTATGGACAAGTGACTTTTAATATTTTTAGTGTAGAAGATATTGCTGAATTTGGTGTTATGTTTCCATTATTATTATTATTATTATTATTAAATAATTAATTATTAAAAAAATCAGAATTTTGTTATAGAAGAGTACTGTGTGTATAATATTTGTAATCTCTCTGCAGGTGGCATATAAAATGGATATTTCACCAAGCAGACGTCACATTTACAGACACTAGTGTTGATGAAAATACTCCTATAATCAAACTACTTACCAAATACTTAGAACCCAACAATGACTTGAGTCAGGATGATAATGAGAAGCTTGCTTATTATCAGTCGGCATCATATGGTAAAGTTGCTGTCTTGATGAAGACAGATGTTCCTGGGTCTGGGACAACTTTCCAAGAGCTGTTTATGTCTAAGAGTATTCGTCTCAACTTGGCCAATAAGATGGTCATGGAATACCCAGTTTTGTATGTGGTTTTAAAACATCACATGGATGCCTATCTTGAGTACCAGCCCGAAGGACATGATGATCTCTTCAGTGATCCCGAGGTGAAAGAGGCAACCGAGATGCAGAAAGTCACTGGGCTGAGCTTCTTTGATGCCAGTAATGATATGGAAGATGGTTAGAATTTTGTCATAGGAACAGTAATAAATCTGGGGCCAGATTCACGAAAGCACTTATGAACCTGAACATCTTTTTTCAATCTGTGGCGGCTTTGTTTCCAATTATTAAACAGCTAATGAGCTCCGAAGCACCAGGAGGCTGTTTATAACAATAACAACAGTTGATTGGCAAGTTTTTATGCTTGTAAACTGTTTAATAAATGTAACCAAAGCTGTCAAAGATTGAGGAAAGATGTACACGTTCGTAAGTTCTTTCGTGAATCTGGCCCATGGCATTTATTATTGAAGGGTGTTGTATAATCTTCCATTTGTCTACCAGTTGTGCCTCAGTATTCTATAAAGTATATTATAATATAAATAAGGTATAGTATTGTCTTCTGATTGTGCAAGAGGAATTTATGATTGCCAAAACCCTGTGAAGGCTGAAGTAATATAATTTGTTTGTCATTTTTGGGGTCTTTTTTTCATGAAAATATGTCAGATACTGACAGTTCAGTGGTTGAGACCATCAGCTGCTAGGATTTTGGCATGTGATCACTTCTAAATTTCATCAATTAAGTGAATGTTTAACAGTATTGAAACAAATATTTTTATTTTATAATAATAATAATATCAAAATTAATAATAACAATTTCATTGTGTTGGAGGACAAAAAGCCAGGTTATACATATGGTACATGTTAGGAAAAGACAATACAGTACAAGTGTTTTGGCTTTCTTTCCGCACATTTGATGGTGCTACATAGCCTTCCCGGTTTGGTGCCTTTTTTTGATAATTAATTACTTTGGCTTTTTTTGTTAAAATCAATTTATTGGTAACCAAGTTCCCAGTATTGTTTTCAATGTTTATCTAACTTTTGTGTGATAACGGCAGATGTAAAAATTGATGAATTGTGTGTGTTTATGAAAATATAAAGTGCAATTTGAATTGTGTGTTATTGAAAATATATATAGTGCAGTTTAATAGTTGCTTAGATTACACACTAACAAAATGACTTGGAAGTTGTTCTTGGATCTGAAAATCTTGCTTAAATAATGTTACTAATACAGTACTGTATATATAGTACTGTATTTACTTTACACAAAGTACCTATTTTCTGTGACATAAGATGCAGGCAGGAAGTAGCCAAAGATCCCATCTTGCTTTATCTTGCTTGGGAGTGGTGACTTTTACAATTTTTTTGTGTTGTGTTTTTAATGACATATTTCTAGATTATATAATTTTAAAATAAATGCTTTGCAGTAGTGAATAGTATCTGGCAAGTCAGTTGTTAAATTTTAAACTGCATTTAAACTTTAAATTCTCGATAATAATGAAAGCAGTTTTGTCGAGAAATATTAATTAGAAATGAAAAACATTTAATATTGTCCTACGAAGTATAAAGTTTGCTTAGAAAATGAGTGGAAAGATATGTGCATATAAGATGCGCACACTAGAAATGGAAGGAGGGCCAGTGTTTAGATCCCACCTGGACCAAGAATGTCCTGGGATCTATCAAATCATTGTCACTGTGTTTATAATACAGTACAGTATATGGGAACAGCATTTGTTTATTCCAGCCATGTCACATTTTTAAAAAGTTAACTTTTGTTAAAATAACAATCTGAATGAAATATGTTGATCATAGTGCAAATTAAAATTCAGAAATACTGTACTGTAGATAGATATAGATATATATATATATATATAATCATTGATGTTTTGACATTCTTGTGAAACCAGTAACATGCATAGTGTTTCGGGCAGGTCTTTAATCCAGATAATTTTAAGTAGGCAATTTCTAGCAAAATTGAAAACATGTTAACACATACGTTTGTAAGAAAATTTGACAATAGTAGGTACATTAAAGTAAAATTTGATGGTTATCAACAGGTACATTGTAGCATAATTTGAGGATTATTTCAAGGTATAATGCAATAAAATATATCATGGTTGTTATATTGAATGTACAAGATGATAGCAATGATTACAATGAAGTTGTATGGCTTGGGTACATATATTGGGTACCACTAGATACAGTAAGAGTTTCAAACACTATGTAAGAAACTATGAAGATGAAATTAGGTACTTTTTGGTTTTATTTTTGAATAAGGCAAAAGTTGGACAGCTTTTCTATTCGTTAGGGGAGCGAGTGCCATACACTAGGTCCCGTTATTTGCAGTGTGTTTATACAGATTAAGTTTGACTGGGGATATCAAAGATATTTATTTCTGGTGTGGTGATTATGGGTTTTATTACATCTGTCCAGGAAGAGTTTCAGAACAGGGTTTTGTAAATGTAACTGGCACAAGAGAATTTGTGAAGCGAATTTGTTTAGCATGTTTAGGGATTTAAACAGGGGGGGCTGAGTAATATCTGAAAGCAGAGTTTGTTATTGATCCGATAGATTTTTGCTGGGTGATGGGCTTGAGGTAGTTTGCAGTGGTTGAACCCCATGCACAGATACCATATGTAAGATAGGGATAGATTAGCACATAGTATAGCGAGAGGAGAGTAGAGGAGAGGACAGCAGTACGAGACAACCATTTGAGACTTTCTTGGGTGTGTTGTATGTGGGTGCTGAAGTTCTCTTGTCTAAGTATGGGCCAAGGAACTTTCCATCATTTTTATTGCCGATGTTAACATTGTTTATCTGGAGCTGAGTTGCATTTGTTAATTTGCTTCCAAATAAGATGTAGTAGGTCTTTTCTATGTTTAGTAAGAATTTGGCGTCCATAAGTGGACTTTTGTTTTTAATTCATTATTTACAATATTTAATGTGTGAGGGTTGGGGGTCTGAGTAGATGAGGGTAGTATCATCAGCAAATAATATAGCTTTAAGAATGTTAGACATTAGGCAGATCATCGAGTTAGGTATTGTCTCAACTTAGCCATGTTTGTTAAAATAATGAATGATAGTTTAGTATTTAAATGCACTACTCAGCTCTATCAAAATGTTTACCAAGCTATCTGACATTTTGGTTGAAAACTGATAAGTGTTATTTTGGAGTTTGTGTTTTGCAAGGTTTGCCGTTTAATATCCTTAGTAGTGATTATCAATATGCTGGTTATTGTAGATTTGTGACAGATTTAGTTAAGGATCAGTTTGCATGTAGATGCAGTGGCGTTGATACAATAAGGTAAGCAATTACAGAAACAGTAAAATACTAAATCTGCTGTAAATATAAATTAAAAAGCAAGTACACAATAGAAACATGTAAAATAAAGCTATTCAAATTAAACGAAATGTTTATTCAGGTAAAAATACGTATTTAAGAAGTTACAATTTTGGATTTCTAGAAAGAACTAGTACATGGTATAATGTCCAAAGCAACTAATATGCACAGCATTTCAGGCAAGGTGTGGGGAAAAATACTAAGCAGATCAAATTTAGTTGAAAAAGGAAAACCACCATGCTGTTAATAGGCTGTTATGCAAGTGGGTCAACAAACACTTTGAAGATATCAAGACATGGGTCGACACATTTAGGGGGTAAGGTAGGTTACATTGAGTTTATTAGGTAGTTACTTTGTTTCTCAAACGGGATAAGAGGGGTACAGCCTTTGACGTGATTCTGAAAATCATTCCACATTGTAGTTGCTTTTTTGGCAAGTTTTGTAGACACGAAGCATTACCGGACCTCCTGGCTAAGGTACTCAAGATTATGGGCTAGTTTAAATTTAATTATTTTACAACTTCACCATTCAGGAAAAAATACACGAGGCTGGTCTCATAGATTAGAGAATTTACTCAGTGACAGGCAATGTCTTGCTACTTTATGCTGTCGTGTAGGTGTTTCAGTACCCCGAGAGTCTTCATTGCTTTCCCTGTTGTCTAGCTGTGGTCGCCCAAGCCTGGGGATGGGAGGGGAGAGTCCAGTGGAACTTTTATTCCTTAAAATGATAACATTTAAGAAATCTTGTTACAAGTTTTATCTTAACTTTTACAGACCTTTTCATAACCTTTGAAGTCCTTACGAGTAACATGCACTTAAAATCTACCAAACATCCTGTATGATATGATGGGAGTTTTACGACAAATGAATAAGGTAAAAAGCCATACGGACCCTACAGTTTAGACCAGTCGTTTAGGACAAAGTGTACCCAGATGACTCCCTCCAGGTCGTGCCTCGCTCATTGCTGCTTATCCACATGAACTGGATCTGACACAAGACATTATGTAGTTTTAGAAAATATCTAACATTTAGTAAATTGTAGTCCAGCAGGATGACTATAAAGTTTAATGCACATGTATGTCAATTTACAACCATGTTGAACACTAATAAGACTCACTTCTGGTGATAACTGAAGTAGTTCTTATTTTTGCCCGATACTAACTAGCTGGAAGCCTCTGCCAAGACTAGCAGTAAGAGTTTGCTTTATTCCAGCTGTAGGTATTGGTATTCATGTACCATGAGAAATTTTAGTTCTTACCTGCCCCGAGTTTCATGTATCTGAAACGGTTTCAAATTAAAAATTTGTAAATTTACTGAAGGGACTAAAGAGCTATATTTATGATTCTAACCTGCATCTTTGGTACTCCAAGCACATTAAATCCCATAGATCAAACTAGTAGAGTTTAGATGTACCATGCTTCCCCGGTGTGGGGGGGGGGCGTGGATAACTAAATAAAATTTGTTTTAAAATGTAAAAATCATTTTACTACGGTACTGTTACAGTTACTGGAATAGTGTTACAAATGTTAAGTCCTAAGTAACTAATAAACAGTCAACGTGAATGCCTATACTGTACACAAGCCAACTACAACTTTTTGAACTGCTAGAGCAATCCACTGAGGAAGTGTTTTTAGACTAGCATCTGAATTTTACTCAAGGTGAGTTTGTCAAATTGGCGATTGCCTTGTGTAGAACCCCCCCCCAGGGCACTGACAATCTCGCCACTTCGAACCGGTGGTTATAACTACCGTTCAGGTGTAATGGTCAGGAATTATTCTGTTAACTTATGTTAGAGAACTTTACACAATTACACTGAAATCATGAATGATGCAAATTCAAAATGTTACTCTAAGGCAATTTTACTATTAATATATATCCGACAGGAAACTATTAGTGTTGATGGTTAAAAAAAAAATAAAAATTGGATGGACATAAAGTTTAACATATCCTGGTTTATAGAAAATTTCCCTAGTTACCCCATTACTAGAATTACATTTAG